GAGTGTGTGTGTGTGTGTGTGTGTGCGTGCGTGTGTGTGTGCGCGTGTGTGCGTGTGTGTGTGTGTGTGCGTGTGCGTGCGTGCGCGTGTGTGCGTGTAACTGTTGCCATTATTTCGCAGCAAAAACAAGACCAAATAAAAACACAAAACGGACGTCGCCTCTTAAATAAATAAACTAGGTCAATACCTACGGTTTCTAGATGGATGAAGCAACAGTCTCTTATCGTCTTACTGAACAAATAAAACATCCTCCCCCCATAAAAAAACAAAAACAAAACCCACAAAAAAAAAACACACAAAACAACAAAACAAACAACCCCATCAAAAGCACAAAGAAAAACGAAAAAATGAAATACATATTATTCAATATTACAACGAGAAAAAAAAAATGAACAAAACGGAAGTCCCATCTTAAACAAGGTAAACAATCAGGATCTTTGACGAGGACAGTTATTGTCGTGAGGGCGAGATTTCCACGAACCGGAGGCGGACTGTTTCCGTGATCGAGAGAAACGGGTGTTGACCCGGGTGTTAAGTGGTCACCCGAGTCGTAAAAAAAAAAACATTTCAAGGAAACAGCTTCTCGGTGCTAAATCGCACGTTCGTTCTTTTGGCGACTTGCTTCCTCATTTTTAATCACCTACTGTTATCGTCTGCTTTTAAAAGTCAACGATATTCGGTATTAATTTATAGAGCAGCGTCTTTTGGTTTTAATAAAGTGAAAAGAAAGAAAGTAAGTATCAGGCTATAACGCCACGAACAAAACACTATTAGGCTATTTGAGAGGTTATAGTTTTCAGTTTTAGTTAGTGTTTTACGGCACTTGTAACACAATAAGGTCATATAAGTGCCGAAGATTAGAAGTGTTACAAGAGAATAACAAACACAAGAAAAGGAGGACGAGAGATCAGGATGGTAGATGTTGGATAGGAAAGAAGGAGCAAACCACACCAGAGCACCCGCCAACCAGCCACTATTTGAGAGGAGGGCCGTGAATGTAAATTTCGGCAAGCCCTTTAAAAAATGTGTCAAAGGCGTCTTTGCTTTGGCGCAGGGTGTCACAGCAACCCTCCAACGTGGCCTTGGGCAGGAACTGCGGAAACCTCCAGGTGTGTGTGCGCTGGGTCAAGTAAACAACACTTACACACACACACACACACA